AAAAATCAGCTGGGCGTGGTAGCACACGCCTGTAATTCCGGCTACTCGGAAGGTTGAGGTGGAAGGATCGCCGGAACCCAGTGGGTCAAGGCTGTGGTGGCCAGGAGCGGCCACTGCACTCCAGTCTGGGCAACGGAGTGAAACTCCAACTCAAAAAAAAAAAGAAACTTAAGAAACTTTTGGGCAACTCCCTCAGGTCCCCTCCACTGTGGGAGCTTTTCTGTCCTCTCAATAAATCCTGCTTTCAAAAAATAAAAATAAGAAAATTCTGTCATTTGCAACAACGTGGCTAAACCTGGAAGATATTATGCTAAGTGAAATAAGTCAGGCATAGAAAGACAAATACTGCATGATCTCACTTATACATGGAATATCAAAAAGTCAAACTTACAGAAAAAGAGAGTAGAATGGTAATTACCAAAGGCTGGGGGGTTGAGGGAAAGGGAAGATATTGGTCAAAGGGTACAAAGTTCCAGTTAGACAGAGGGAACTAGTTTTGAGATCTATCCAGCAGGGAAACTATAGTCAATAATAATATATTGCATATTTCAAAATAGCTAAAAGAGTAAATTTCAAAGGCCTTAACATGAAAAAAGATAAGTTAGGTGATGGTTATGTTAATTAGTTTGGTTAAATCTTTCCATATTTTATACATACATTAAAACATCACATTGTATTCTGTAAATATATATAATTGTCTACCAAACATTGAACTTGACACATAGTAAGGGCTCAATAAATGGAAGCCATATAATTATTTTTCAACTACTAGATCAGTCTAAGTTAGAATTAAGAAATAAGGAAAACATCTTAGAGCTACTTCCTATTTGAAATTAAGTTTTAAAAAACTGAAATATGCTCAAAATAGAGGAATAGCTGAGAAAAATCTTCTGAATGGAAAATAGAGAGTAAAACATCTACAATTTTCCAGTGCTAAAAGAAAAAAAGACATTGTTATATGACCTACCATCCCACGACTAGAAAGGCAGGAAAGTAGTAACAGATACAGAGATGCATGCAACAGCCTTTTATGAAACACAAAGATTTTTAAAATACCTCCAAGGAAGACTTTGTCTCTAAAAATGCAGAATTATCAAAAAATTAATCTTAAATTGAAGAGAAAGAGGATATGGATTAAATTAAGTACGACCAGTAAGTTAAGTTTGGAAAAGTTACCATTTTATTGCCAAGTGCTTTTAATTCTGAAAATCTGTTATTTACAAATATGGTGGTTAATAATTTTAGTTTCTACTAATGCTTGGCTATTTTAGGTTAGCCAAGTTATAACTCTTTAGTTATAGTCTTAATTATCCCTATAAGAAATGTGGATATCTGGATCACTAAGTCATTTATAAGGTACTGCAATCCATCTGGTAACGTTAGGAAGAAATAAACAACTTTTTTGAGTTCTGGTGTTTCAAAGTCCACCTTATACAAAAACAGAAATGCCAAGAACACGAAAAAAGTATTGAATGAGAGATTGGAGCACACAGAAGAAGGGGCTAAAGTCTATGTCATAAGGACATAGTTTACACTTGATAAATGTTTGTTGGCAGAGAGAGAGGTAGGGAGGGATAGGAAGGAGAAAGCAAGGAATTCCAAGAAGATAAACACACAAAGAAATCCTGAGATAGAAAAAGGAAGTTAAGTAGTTTAGTTAGAATGCATGTTTTGGTGCAAGTAAGGCAATACATGGCAAGAGAAATGTGATCAAACACTTACCTTAACCCACCAAGGAACAACCTCTTGTAGTCAACATTAATTCTACTGATATTTTGTTTTGCAAGCTCTTCAACGGATATAAAACGAGCCACATGCTGAACACCAGGAGCCATGTTCCTGACATAGTTAATATCATGACTTGGCAGCCAAAAAATCTGTGAGGAGAAATAGGAAGTTCTTCAGCAGATAGTCAGTTGTTTAGATACAAACAGCCCCATAAAGAATGGATAGAGTTCGATTTCAGCACCGGTAGTAGACTACAGGGAACAAAGATTCTAATTCTTGGTGAAATTAACTTTTATAATGAGGCTTTTACCAACAGCTCCTTAAATGGGGCTGTTCTGGAGATTTCCATTTACTAGTTAACATCAAAGATCAAAGACCTCCTGTGTATACAAAGCCTTATCCTACCAGAGCAGGTGAGGCGTTGGCAGATGTGGTTGAATGGTGGGAAACAAAAACATCTCTGGTTGATGATGATCAAAATCAACTTGAGAGAAGTCATTTTCTGCCAAAAGGGATGCTATTATGACTCATCTGTGACAATTTCATTTGCAAAAAGATATGTGTTTGTTTTACTCACAGCACTCCCATATTCTGAGAATTTAAGGGATTTGGAACAACTGACTGCCCAAATGCAGAGTTGCTTCTAAAAAACATGAGCAAATGTCTGCTCAAATAAGAATGAGTTGTCCTTTTTATATCATTCATTAATACCAAGTCCTCAAAGCCTTAAAGTTACTCAGGCTCTTTCTAATGGATTTATGTTGGTCATATCACATCGTTATTACACACATTCCTCTTTAACAGGGTGCTGATATTTCACTTGGTTTGGAATAGCAAATGGCCTCAACGATTTCCCCACTGAGGTACATTTAACTGGGTCAATCTTAGATTATCACTTGTAGCTGTATAAGTAGTAATCTTCCCATAGGAAGGAAAATTACTTAAGGATCCCCCACCTCCCAACCTCTATCAAACATCACTGAAACAGACATACCAGACGTTGCTCAATTTTGGAGGCAAGGATCACGCTTATTACATAACGGATAAATGTATGCCTGATAGGATGTTTTGGTGGAGGCCCATTAATATCAAATATCACAAATTTGTTTTCCTTCTTTGCAAGTGTCAATAAGTCAGCTAGTTTTGGAATCGACTGATTTCTTGCTCTTTCTCTATCCGCCTTTGATAGAGGTTTCATATTGAAAAATGGTCTGAGCTAGAAATAAATACATAAAAAATACATTGGTTCCCATCAAAAGCATTTTCCAATTCTCCTGTTATGTATCCTTTTATGGAGCTCTACTTCTATGTTACTCCATTACCACTTAAACCACCAAGCCCTCCAAAATATTACTCCTGGGATAAGAATTGAAAAGGAGATAATTAAAATGTAATCTACATCAGCAATTAGGGTATTTGGAATGATTTCTTCTGTATCCTAGAGCCTGTTGTTTTTGCACTGAAGGTCCTTCATGCTCTCATCTTGACCTTCCTTTCCAGCCTTGTCTTTCATTCCAAGGCAATATATCCCTTTTCAGTCACACTGGCTTTTTGCTGGTACTCTTACCATTTTAGTTTTGAGTAATAGAAAGAATATGTGCTTTGGCTTCAAGTGAATTCAATCACAGCTCTATCCTTCACTTGCCTTCTTTGCCACGTCCACCTGTTAAAATCCTACCCTCAACCTGCAAAGCCCAGTTCAAATGCTATCTCCTTCATGAAGCTTTCCTTAAATATCCCTGAACTAAAAGAGACTTCAAGGCTGGGCATGATAGCTCATGCCTGTAATCCCAACACTTTGGAAGGCTGAGGCAGAAGGAAAGTTTGAATCCAGGAGTTCAAGAGCAGCCTGGGCAAAATAGCGAGACCCTGACTCTACAAAAAATTTTAAAAATAAGCTGGGTGTGATGGTGCACACCTGTAGTCCTAGCTACTAGGGAGGCTGAGTCAGGAAGATATAAAAAGTTTAGGAGTTTGAGGCTGCAGTGAGCTATGACCATGTCACTGCACTCTAGCCTGGGCAACAGAGCAAGAACTTGTCTATAAATATAAGTAAATAAAGAGACTTCAGTGGCTTTAAACCCTAATGGCCCATTTTTATGCCTCTGTAATTATATGTCTCATTTTGCCTTTTATAGTTATTTGCACATGTCTTAGACCAAAGTTCAAATTCTTGCTTGCTGTGCAACCTTGATAAAACCATTTAAATTCTCAAAGTTGTCATTAGACAAAGTAAAAAATGGAGGAGGGAAGGAATAATCTAGGGTTATTCTGAAGATTAAATATAATAAAACATTTACAGGGTCTGGAAGCATGTCTAGAGTACACAGAAAAGTGCACAATTCACATTAGTTCCTTCTCTTTCTCTCTCTGTCTGTCTGTCTCTCTCTCTTTCTCTCTCTCTCTGTCTCTCTCAGTTGGGGTCTCATTCTGTCACCCAGGCTGGAGTGCAATGGCATGATTACAGTTTGCACAGCCTTGACCTGTTGGGCTCAGGTGATCCTTCTGCCTCAGTCTCCCAAGTTGCTATGACTTCAGGTACATGACACCATGCTTGGCTAATTTTTTAAATTTTTTTGTAGAAATGAAGTCCTGCTATATTGCCCAGGCTGGTCTCAAACTCCTGGGTTCAAGTGATCCTCTTGCCTTGGCCTCCTAAAGCGTTGGGATTACAGGCATGAGCCACCATGCCCAGCCAGTTCCTTCACTTTCTATTGACTATCAGAATGTAACTCCCTCATGGCAAGAACTGTCATATACTCTTTGCAATGCACAGCATTTCACCCAACACATAGAAAACCATATATACATGTCTGCTATATTAAATCTAATCAATATCTACTTTTATCATCATTGGCCAATTTTAGATCAGTTGTGGGAGAAGGCAGTGATAAAAGGCTACTTCTTCAGAGAAGGAAGCAGCAGCTACCTCACATTTTCTTAAGACTCAAGTAAGCTCTCTTTTTCTCTACACTACTTTATCTTCATTCTCATTCACATCTTTTCTATTTCTTCTCCTCCTTTACTTTCACATATTTTTCTCAGGAAAGAAACAATCATGCTGCCAATATCCCCAGAAAATTGCTAGACCAGGAGGCAGATAACAGAAGTTGAATTAAGCCATGATCTAGATCTGAGCTGAGGGCTACAACTAAGATTATTCTTAATTCTCAGGAAAATAGAAATTTGCTTCAGAATTTAAGATTTTGTTAGATACTACCAGATCCATGCCAACTGGTTCACTTAATTGTTAATCATTCTTGTGAGAAAAACTTTCAAAAGAACAGGATAAGAAAGACCAAAATGGGAACAAAATTTAAAACAGTAAATATGATAAAGATTAAACAATAGGAGAGTTCAAAAACTAAACTCCAGTAAGCCTTAAATCATATTATGGGATATATCTAGCAGCTGATGTAAATTGAGTCTCTTTTTGTATATAAAATAGGAGAACCTAATCAAGTTACTGGAGCTAAAACTCACAAAAGTGTAGGGGCCCTCCTATGGCTGGGCCTCAGGTTCTCACAAATATTGGAGAAAAAGACCCTCATGCTTCTGACAGGGAGAGTGAAAATAAAACACTTTTAAATACACTGTACTTCTTAAAAAGGCCTATTTTTAAAGGATATCCTGTCCTTTTTTTAATTTGAGTAGGAATCCCACTCTCTGTCTTGTCATTTGTAGAAGATAAGGACAGGACAGAGTAAGTAAAGAGATGGAACTAAAGAGTAAAGAAAGAGATCTAAGAATGAACCCCCCCAAAAATGCTAGAAATAAAAAACACTAACAAAAATAATGCTTTTGATGGTCTAATTAGTAGATTAGACATGGTTGAGGAAAGAATCTCTGAACTTGAGGATATATCAATAGAAACTTGCACAACTGAAAACAAAGAGAAAAAAGATGGAAAAAAAAAATCAGAATAGAATATCCCAGGACTGTGGGACAGCTACAAAAGGTGCAACATATGTGTAATGGTAATATCAAAAGGAGAAAAGAGAGAGAAAGGAAAAGAAGAAACATTTTAAAAAATCATGAGAGAGAATATGCCCCCAATTAATGCCAGATACCAAACTACAAATCGAGGAAACTCAGAGAAAGCCAAATAGAATAAATACCAAAAACATTACACCAAGGCATATTATTTTCAAATTACAGAAAATAAAGATAAAGAAAACAATTCCGGGGGGGGGGAACCAAAGGGGGGAAAAAATCTTACCTATAGAGAAAGATAAAGAATTTCGAGAGGCAGAGCTCCATTAGAGAAGATGAATGAGGTACCCTGCCACCATTGTGAAAACTGGGAAGGAAAGTGGTCTAGCTTGCTTACCACAGAGCAATAGACCTGACCCAATCTCTGTGACCAGCAGATTAACTACTCAGCGGTTGAGTGTGACCCAGAGGGAATATCTTGAAGGCACAAACTCCTGAGGGACAGGACAAGTGATGAGTCTCAGGCACCACACCCCCTATCCCGATTCAGTTGTAGGTTTGGCCAGAAAAAAACAAGGAAGGCCTCCAAAGAGATCAGCGGGCTGACCCAAAACCCTCCTCCCCAGCAATCCTCTGAATTTCAGACCCACACTGGTGGGGCATGACTGAGAGGGATGAACCCAGGCGGGCCCAGATATCAGCAGCAACAGGAGGACTCCACCAGGATAAACCTGGCCGGGGCACCCCCCACCACTACCTGGGGAAGAGACAAAGCCACACCTCCCTATCAGAGGGGATCCCCCAGATCATACTATAGTGGAAGGGGAGGAGTGAAGCCTAATTCACCCCCATTGCCCCCTCCTCCTTCCCTGGGTTGGACACTGGGGAGATTGTGAATGAGGTTGAAGCTCTGCAGGAGACAGTAGAGGGGCAGCTGAGAGGAACAACTACAGAACCTGACACAAGAGGGCAGGTTTTTGTTTGTTTGTTTATTTTCAAATTTTTTTTATATCTTTCCTTTGTGAATGTGTATGTGAGGGTTCAATCTGCATCCCCCCACCCCTTTTGTTTTCTTTCTTGTCTTCTTTTTTTCCCTTTCTTTCTTCTTACATTTTTTTGTTTTTTGTTTATGTGTGTATGTGAAGGATTAAATGTTTATCTTTCAGTTTTTTTGTTTGTTTTTCTTCACTGTTTGTCTCTTTATTTTAGTTTACTGTGTGTGTGAATATATGTGTGAGGGTTCAATTTGAATTCCTTTTTCTTTTTCTTGTTTTCTTTTTCTTCTTTCATTTTGAGTTGGGTGTGTGTATATCTATTTCATTTTCTTGTTTTTATTTTTGTTTTTTGTTTTGCTTTGTTGTTATTCCAGCTTGTTTTGGGGTGTGTGTGTGTCTAATTGTTTTTGGCTTTGGTTTCTGTTTCTGTTGTTCTGAGGGTTTAAAAATATTTAAAAATTTTTTGTCCATCTTATTTCATTCTACTTTTCTACATTCTTCTCATTGCTATTACTGTATCTTGGACTCAGGGGGTAGACACATGTACCCACTGCATCGTCATATAGAGTGGTGGTGGGGAATGGGTCTCAGGGAAACAATACCACAATCAGTGAACATTGTGATTTGCAAGTAGTTTCTGAATCCTAGCTGCCCACCCTCCACCTTATTTGACTCTCAAAATTACAAGAGACAGTACAGCTTCCCACCCACAGCCCTGTTTCAAAATAGAACAAATTAAGAGCTCTGATCAGGTGGCTCAGCCTGTAATCCCGTGCCTTTGGGAGGCTGAGGTGAGTGGATTGCCTGAACCTGCGGGTCCGAGACCCACCTGGACAACTTGGCGAGACCTCATCTCTACAATAAATCAAAAATTAGCTGGACGTGGTAGCGCGCACCTGTAGTTCCAGCTACTCAGAAGGCTGAGGTGGAAGGATTGCCGGAGCCCAGCAGGTCGAGGCTGCAGTGGCAGGAAGCGGCCACTGCACTCCAGTCTGGATGACAGAGTGAGACTCCAACTCAAAAAAAAAAAAAAAGAGCTCTGATCAGAAAAGAATAGAAGGCTGAGCAAACATCAGCAGTGAAAGTCCCCCTCACTGCCACTGAATAATGGAACTAAAGAGAAAAGAAAGAGATCTGTCACAAATTAGGAAAAATCAAAAGAACACAAGTAATTTCCAGTTTAATAGAAAGCACCTGAAAAATCAGACCTTAGATCCCAAACAATGGAAGTCACCAACAACTGGCCCCAGAATACAACAGGGATTAAGGAATGGATGGAAAGAGTGAA